AATTGGTTCGATTATAGAACGATTGTAAACGCTCCAGAAAATTGATCAAATTGAAAATAGTTCGTTTGACTGGACGTAAAAATTCTCCAATTAGTCTGGAAACGGGGGACCTAATTCTTGCATTCTGTGAAAACGGGTAAGATTGGCTATAATGTAATTATCTTAATCTTCACTATCGTTAGTTTTTGCCCACAAATAAAAACCCAGCGAAGCGGGTCCTTGCAGCTAATATGTTATATTTTTTACCTTCATTGATTCTTCTTCTGAGATTATAATCACAGATGCCATTCTTTGTTTCTTTGTTATTCGGCTTAGAATTCAAAATAACGAACAGAATTCGAAAATGTCGAATTCTGTTCGTTATTTTGAATTCTAAGCCGAATAACAAAGAAAATGTTGTTACAACGATAATTCGAATGTTTTATTTTGAAAATATTTTAAAACAGAAAGGAACGGATTCTCGTATTGATAAAAAAAATTATTTTATTGTTTATTGTTGATTTTGTAATTATTAGATTATATTATTAATTTTATAAAAATTATTCGGTTTATTAATAATCAATAAGAGACTTAGAAGCCATTTAAAACTAAATATTTTAAATTACTAAATTCACTTAAGAAAATTCTGTGAAATTTTCTTAATGTTTTTATGTTTATGAGACGAGCGCTTGTTTAGACATGTTCAAATTTTGTAGATATACAGTACTCTGTTGCTTGGGTCAACGGTTAAACAAATGTTGTTTTAAGTTGGAGAATAAATTTTTTATATTAATATGTATTTGGCTCGTAATATTTCATATTTTATTGGCTTCTGACTTAAAATTTATAAGAAAATGTACTTGTTTGTTTAAAATATAGTGCTTGTTTGAATGTTAAAAACTGAAACTTTATCGTCATATACTACTTCTTAAATTCACAAGGAATGTTTAATGGAAGATGATGTTTTATTGAATACAAAATATGTAGTGTACCGGTAACGATACTTCATTATTAACACAAAACAAAAATAATTTATTTTCCTGAAATAATTCTTTTAAAGTGAAAACAATAAAACTGTTAAAATCGGAAGGAGAGAAAACATTTAGGGAGAAACATCTCCACTTACAAACAGAATTGCTGAAGGTCGAAACGGCCGATCTATTTTCCTCACTCCGATGATGCAGCCTTTCTTGAAACTCTGTCAGCTGTGAGCAATGTTTGGCTAAATTGTATAAGCCTGTCCTGTGTACTCTATACTGAATATACACAGTGAACCTTTGCGGGTATTTTCTTTCATTCAGCGGAACTCTACAAAAGTTAGCGTCTGTGATCGAAGTTTAAAGCAACTGCGCCATCACTTTTGCAATTACGTACAGTACAACTCGGCAAGGCCGATGTCGTGACGAAGTCGGAATTTTGAAATTCGATCTAAGGGCTGAGATATTCGAGGTCGAAATTTGCCATGTAAAGTCTATGGGCTACGGAGCTGTTTCGTTTTTCTGTAAAATACCTAGCGGGATACTAGGATAGCGATTCCAAAACATTCTGGTGGCATTGTGGAGTGCAATCAGACTAAGCTCGATTGACACGTACCGCGCGACCAGCTTACAACTGGCAATTGGACCATGTCTGGGTGCGTGTATTAAAGAATTATTGTTTCCTAAATGTTAATTAAAATATTCGAAAAATTTTATAATAAAAATTTTATAGAATATACTTTATAATTTACAAAATAAAGTATTTTGTAAAAACAAATTAATATTTTAATCCTGTTTTTATCCGATAGAGGGATTTAAGAACGTAAACATCCCGGACTAGAAAGACGTGATTTTATTAATGAAAACATGACTTCTCTAGTAATAATCAAAGAAGGCTTTTCTGAATTTGATCAAAAGTGTAATATCATGCGTGCCAACTGTTCTTGCACTATTGTTAGGTCTTCTGACGTTTGTATCATCGTGGATCCATTAACAGCATGGGATAAAGATTATATACTCCAACGTAAGTGAATTTATCGGCACAATTGGGTAAGGTTGCAGATGTGAATAACACTGCTGGGACCTTAAGAGTTTTTTTTTTAACTCTCTGCTCTGTGGGCACTAAGCAAGCCCACTATGGGGGCGGTCGGGTGCTGAGGGACGGGGCCCGACATATCCGGACGGACCATCCCGAAAAATTCGTGGGGATTTTTCGACCCGGCCAGATTCGATCCCGGGTCCCCAGAGTGGTAGGCTGCCACCTTGAGTTAAAGGAACCATACCTCTACGGTGCGTTTACTTTTTGCTAGCTTCCAAGCTCGCTGAGCTGACACCTAGCGCAGCCTGACATCATACTAGCACGCTCGTAAAAGTATACACAGTAATGGACGCCGTCATCTTTGAACAAACTCCAAGCTCGTAAATTCTCCGAGCATACCAGGAATACTAGCAATGACGTCACGGGTGCGAAAAGTAAACGCCGTGCTCATTACTAGCTAACAAAAAGTATACAGGCTGAGTGTGCTAGGGGCAAGATCGGAGCTAAAAGTAAACAGACCCTACATGTGACCCTTTGCCAGATATAGTTCCCCAAAATCAGCCAACTTCCAGGATGTGATTGGGAGTCATGATAACTGTTGATTATTGTAAGATGCTAGCTCTGAGTGACACCCCAGTAATCAGCACTCCTAGTGGACCAAGCCTTCTAACAAAGTCCAATGGACTGGGAGGTTGCTCTGGTATCATTCAGGACTAGAATCTTAACAATTTTCTGTTCTCCCAATCTTTGAAATTAAAACCCTACAAGTCAATTAATTCCTTTTTTAACTCAAATTTCTCTATTCAATTTTTAAAAGTAAAATCAACTATTTTTTATTTGTATTGTGGTTGTTTGTTACTGAGAGATAGTAATGTCTGCAAACAAACTTTACTAATCACGATACATAAAACAGATACAGTTGACTCCCCTATAAGACAGTAGATACGTTCCATTCTTTAGGAATCTGATTTCTTATGAGTCCTTCCAATCACAGCCCGACACGTGTCAAGTTTACGGACTACGGCTGTTTGAAAGGTTTTCTTCCATAAAATTAATTGATTCTAGACTAATCCGACTCAACATTTCCAAAATACGTATATTTTTTTGGGAATAATCCGTATAAACTACGCTATAAACAAAAAATTGTAGGATTACTTACCGAGTGTGCACCATTCGACATCGCCATTGCTCAAGCTTGTTTTCGTCGCGGAACAGCTCAGCAAACCGCGGCCGATTTCTAATAACTTATTTTTCTGCGAAAAGTTCGTTGAACTTTGGAGACATCATTAATATAAATAATTTTTATCGCCGTTGAATAAGAAATGTTTCTTTCACAAGAAATGTATAAAATTACAGTACTGTATTAGACTTACAGTACCTAATTTACATACTGTATAGACGATAGTTCGCCTAAACTCTCCATAGCGTGGCGCCAGGCGGCAGAAAATATACATATAATAAAGTTACAATAAATTAAGTTAATATATAATTATATATACAATACCTAATTTATATATAATTAATATATAATTATATGTACAGTACCTAATTTATATATAATATTGTACAGACAATAGTAATCTCTCCATAGCGTGGCGCTTGACGGCGCGGAAAGTAGTTCGGCTGCCCGATGACGTTTTACGTAATTATAGGAGTTTTTTACCGTTTTTTATGGATACCGTCGCAATTTTTTTGCTGTCTTATAGGAATTGTAATTATAGGAACCTGTTTTATAGGGGGTCTACTGTATACAAACAAAATATCCTTTATTTCTCTCCGAACCGGTTCTTTTAGTACAGATCCCAACTTTACAGATTTAATGTTACTTTTAAACAAAAGGGTAGTCTATTGTCTTCCCATAAGCATGTGAACAACGTGCGCATAACATATAGTATGAACCCGACCGACTTACAACTAATCTTATACCTATGAGAAAGAGGAAAAGCAGAGACTTTAGGAAAGTATGACACACAGAATGTAGAAAATACCCAAGTTTCCCATAGTTGGTAGGTACCCAAGTTTCCTATAGTTGGTAGGTATATGTGGAAGGTACCTCCTCAATAATATGCTTTTGGATGTCTTTCTAACTTTGCAATCTTGGTGCCTAGGAGATCTCCGGTCACAATCACTGTTCTTACGATCTTACTTTGTTTTAGTTCTCCACCTCTACAGTTTCCCCCGGCTTCGAAGTTCTGTTTGTGACTATTCTCAAAGTTGGAGCACTGCCTTATCCTGCCGTCCACTTTGAGATCTTGACCAAGAATGCCCTTCCTCTTGCCATTTTGCCTTAGGTCTTTTCCTTTCTTTTGTTTCCCCTGAAAATTCAGGGAAGCGATAGTTCCCTTACCCTTTTGTTCTACCACTACCAGGAGTTCTGAGAAGGGATAATCCCTCCTTAAGGCAATAAGATTCAAGATAGAAACTTCTAGAAGGAAGTTATGATGAAAGGGAAGAATCAAATATAAGGAAAAATAAAATATAACTAAAATACATATGACCCCCTATAGCCGACAACCACAGTATTCTGTTACATTATTATTAGTATTATTATCCATTATGTTTTTAAACTAGGAGCAAAACAAAGTGAAAAATAAATTGCTTTATAGTTCAATTCTTATTTACAATACAACAACATTCAAAAAATAATATGTGTATTCTGTATCAAAGGTTGAACCTCTGTTTTTTTCACACCAAGAACTCATCTAAAAGAACAAGTTAAATTGCTATTTGCATAAATTTTTTTCAATGCACAGCAGTGAAATATAAGCAGATAATTCATATGTAGATACAGTCGACCCCCCTATAAGACGGTAGATACGTTCTGTTTTTTATGAAATTGATGTTTTAGGAGACCTTGCCAATCACAGCCCGAGACGTGTGAAGTTTACGGACTACGGCTGTTTGAAAGGTTTTCTTCCATAAAATTAATTGATTCCTAGACTAATTTGACTCAACATTTCCAAAATACATATATTTTTTTGGGAATAATCCATATAAACTATGCTATAAACAAAAAATTGTAGGATTACTTACCAAGTGTGCACCGTTCGACGTCGCCATTGCTAAAGCTCGTTTTCGTCGCGGAGCAGTGCACCAACCGGCGGGCGCAATTTCTGATAGGTTATTTTTCTGTGAAAACTTCATTGAACTTTGGAGACATCATTAATATAAATAATTTTTATGGCTGTTGAATAAGAAATGCTTCTTTCACAAGAAATGTATAAAATTAGTGCTGTATTAGACTTATGGTACCTAATTTACATACCGTATAGACGATAGTAAACTCAACTTACTCGCCTAAACTCTCCGTAGCGTGGCACTNACCTTTGGAGACATCATTAATATAAATAATTTTTATGGCCGTTGAATAAGAAGTGTTTCTTTCACAAGAAATGTATAAAATTAGTGCTGTATTAGACTTACGGTACCTAATTTACATACTGTACAGATGATAATAAACTGAACTTACTAGCCTAAAATCTCCGTAGCGTGTTGCCAGGTGGCGGAAAGTATATATATAATTATAATAAAGTTACAATAAATTAAGTTAATATATAATTATATATACAGTACCTAATTTATATATAATTAATATATAATTATATGTACAGTACCTAATTTATATACAATTTACATATAATACTGTACAGACGATAGTAAACTCATTTTACCTGCCTAAACTCTCCGTAGCATGGCGCTGGACGGCAGAAAGTAGTTCGGCTGCCTGATGACGTTTTACCGAATTATAGGAGATTTTTTACCAGGTTTGTATGGATACCGTCGCAATTTTTTCACCGTCATATAGGAATCCAAACTATAGGAACCCGTGTTATAGGGAGATCAACTGTATATTCACTTCCATAATTTGTAAGTGCTTTGCAAAACAAACTACATTTAATGAATTTTTATTAATTCTACTATATTCTATTGTTTCAGATAAAAAAAAGACAAAAATGTTCTTTCAGCTTCTATGTTTGTATGTGGTAAAATAAAAATTTGTCCATTTTGATAAATTTGGTACTATTGTGCCATCAAATCATTTCCTTGAAGCTAAAATCAATCCACATCTCATTCACCTTTGAAGTGGATGACTTCATTTTAGTAATTTCATTACTAAACATATTGAGTATATTTCTACACTTAATGACCATTTCAGTTTTACAGAAATAAAAAAAATAGATAAACCTTAAAATTTATATTTATTTCATCCAAATTTTTATTCAATGCAATTTCAAAACTGAGAAAGGTCATATATTTAAATATACTATTAGGTAATCTCTTTTTAACTTTACAGCAAACTCTAAATAAAAAGGCTATATTTTTATAAAACTATCTTGAGGTGCTTTTTCTAGTAAATCAGCATGCTTTTATATAAATTATATTTGAGTCTAAAGTAAAAATTATATTGGATTTTGAAGATGAAATTTTTTAAAATCTTCATAATAGCTAAATTAAATTTGAATGAAGGTGTATACTTTTATGCATATGAAGGATGAATATGATTAGAATTTTTAAATTGAAAACTTATTTTCTATAGGAACTGAGAATTGATGATGATATGAAGTTTTACATATTTTAGGATCAGAGCTGATACATGAACATTTACTTCATTCATAGACCAGATAATTTTATGCACTTGCTAATTATTTATTAAATATTACATTTTCAGAATAGAAAAGTCTTAGATTAAAATAATACATTTAACTGTAGTTTAATGTAGCTTAATTCAACCATCATTCATCAGAAATTACATTTTTATGTCAATGAATAACCTGACTTTCTCACATTGATAATCAATTTTGGAATTATATATCAACTCTAAAAATAGCTACATCAATCATCATTGTAAACAGCTGCAGAGAATTAACAAATTTCAATTGGTTGATTTTTTTTGTACTGTTTTTTTAGAAAAATCATAGTGTAAAAAGGATTATAATTTGTTACAATCCTAACAAATGACGGAAAATAAAAAATGTACACTGCTGGCCATTAAAAATGTTATACCAGGATACCAGGAAGTAAAGGAAAATAGCAGAATCATATTTTAAAAAAAAAACCTTAAAATCCCACCAAAGAGAGAATCTCTTTATCTAAGAATATGTGGAACCCATATATGGAGCTTTGAAACAAAACAGTCATTTCAAATGATCATAAACAGTTCAATTTGACAAATTTAATCTCTCAGCAATTTCTAATGTTGTTATTTGGCATTTTGCTTCAATCAATACCTTTATTTTGTCTTCATCAGCTTCAACTGGCTTTCCAGAACATAAATTTTGTGAACCAATTTTGGCACTGTCATTCTGTCAACACATCATCTTCATACACATCACACAAATTATTTTTTGCTTGAACAGCATTTTTATTTTTTTGGTAATAAAAAAGCAAAATATGCCAAAAATGTTGCTTTCGATTTTGATGGGACACAACAAAAAAAACCAATTGCACAGAATCAAACAAATTTTTACAAATAAACCTTGAAATGTCAGCTGTCAAAATATATAAGGACAATATGGCTTAAAATGAAATTGGCAGAGGAAACTAATTCCTCTGGTGGTAAAAAAACGAAATTACTTTCCAAACAACTCAACAACAAATGTCAAAACACAATCAATTTATGAACTTTTTAAAAGGGTTAAATGATAAAACAGAAGAATTACCCAGTGATCTCTCCTTATGGTCTGTTGTGAGATGGCTTTCAACTTACTTGTTAGTGTTTTGAGCCATTTTGTGGAACTCCTAAATTCTATCACAACATTTTTTAAAAAGAAAAAGGAAAAAAAAATATATATATATTTTTTTTGTCCTTTATATATATATATACCCAGAATTAGAAAATGAAGCTTGGCTTTCTGACTTATTTTCCTTTCAGACATCATGGAACATTTGTCAATACCTAACTTGGCTTTACAAGGAAAGGAAAGGAAAAAATGATTAGCGATTTGTCACAAACTGTATTTAGTTTTGAAGCTAAACTTCAGCTTTTTGTGCAGATCTTAAATTCCAGATTATTTAATCATTTTCCATGGGTAAAAGCCAATATAATTAATATTAAAGAAGGAAAATTCGAAGGATTGCAAGCAGATTTCAATTGTAGGTTTGAAGATTTGAAAAGTTTTAAATCTACATTTACGTATTTTGTGAACTCATTTATTTGTGATATTGGAGATGGATTTCCAATTTCTGAAATAATACTTGTTGAAAAAGCAGCTAGGGAATTGGAGTTATTAGAGATGAAAGAAGATCAGGCATTGTAAATGCATCACAAATCTAGTTCTCTAATTGAATTTTGGAAACTATGCCAGAATCAAAATAGCCACACTTAAAGAAAGCTGCTTGCCATCTAATTTCAATTTTTGGTACAACATATTGTTGTGAATCATTATACTCAACAATGAGGTTTGTGAAGTTGAAATATTGTTCACAGTTGACCAATCAGCATCTCACAGAATTGCTGCAAACAGCTTTAATAAATTATATCAAATTTCAAAGATTTGACCAAAGATCTTCGTTAAATGTTATAATACATATGCATTAAAAAAAAGTATATTTTATTTATTTTGTTTTCATTAAAATTTTGAAATAATTATTTTGTATTTTCTCTCCCCCTTAATTAAAAGTTCTTATATATATATATATATATATATAACCAGCCTTACTGTATACTCCTGTGCTATGGGATCATCTACTGTTGCATAGGATAGAGTTTGTGATTGCAATATAAAAATCAGCATATAACCTGTCCATTGCATAACCCTCATTCTCTTTCAAATTCTCTCAATCACAGATCATGTATGAAAATATGATAATTTGAGATTCTTTGTTTTACTTTCATGTAAAATATATTTATTAATTTAGAATTGAAGGAACAGAACTTAAATCCAGATGATATAACTCATGTTGTTTGTACACATGGCCATTCTGACCATATTGGAAATTTAAATCTATTTCTAAAAGCCATTCATATTGTCGGGCAAAGCATATCATGTGGCACAGATTATTTCATCCATTCCTTTGACAAGGTAAGATTTTGATCCACAAGAGAAAATATTTCAACAAAAACAATAATTTTATTTATGTTTTATCTACAGACACCATATAAAATTAACAGCAGCATTCAGGTGATTGCAACTCCTGGTCACACTCATTCTGATGTCAGTGTTGTTGTTTTAACAGAAACATATGGTACAGTGGTAATAGCAGGTGAATACAATTTGCTTTTTGAAAATTTTGTGCATATTTTCATTCTAATATTTTCAATATTTTGATAGGTGATTTGTTTGAAAGAAAGGAAGATATTCAAGAGCCATCTTTATGGAGAGAGATAGCAGGAAGTGAAAATCCCAAGCTCCAACTAATAAATAGACAGCGTATTTTAGATATGGCAGATTATATTATTCCCGGCCACGGGCCAATGTTTAAAGTCACTGCTGACTTGAAACATGCTCATTCCTCTTTGCTTCTTAAAGAATCTTAATAAAATGAAATTTCTTAAGTATTAATTAATTGATATATTTTAAAGAAATTACACACACAGATGCAAACATTGAAAATTCTTTTAATACAACAGCAACTGTTATTTGGTACAGTGAACAGTGACGAAATATATGAAAGACAATGTGACTAAGTATATATAACTTACTATATATCTTTTTATATACAAAGTGCAGCATAATGCATCATACAAATTTTTGTTTGGTTTAAATATATTTGCTAAATGACAATATTTGACATATTTGATAATCTGTAATAAACTATACAGCACAGAAAGAGTAATTTCCTGGTTTTAAACAAACTGTATAAATCATACTAACTTATTGTTTGGATTTTCAAATTAAATTTTGCCAGATAACTCAATCTTCTGATGACTAATACTTTCTTTCTATGCAATACATATAAAATATTGATTTGACACATCACAAGAAAAACCTCTAATATATTTATTATGCTGCTGAAACATACATGTTTTTAATAATACTGATCTTTAAATTAGTCTAAACTCTAAATTAATCTCTAAAACAGAAATGAATTAAATCCAGTAGCATATTTGCCATGTGTAAATTATGAAAAAGTAAGTTATCTTAATTTGTAGCAACTGGAATGTTTTAAAAAAAATATATTTAAATAAGAAATTTTACATTAAACAAAGACACGAGATTGAAATAACCTGTTGTAAAATGTCTCTCTATAATATACAACTAGTAATATCTAGATACGAAGTTATAAAATTCTTAAAATCCACATGTTAAACTTAATGCATATATTCAGGCTACTTTAAATAAATAAATTTTCCAGATATAAAGATTACATTAGAAGAGTATTAGGACAAAAATAAAACATTTACTAAATAAATTTTAAACTTATGGGAGGTTATTATTTGACTAGATTTCCCACATTTTTCTTATATTTCAAAATATACAAGTTTTAATTTACATTAATGAAAAAAAAATTTAATTCTTTTAAACCTTTGAAACAAATGAACAATCGTATACTGTACAAGTACTTTAAATTCTCAAATTTATATATTAAAGATTTAAATTTATCACTCATTTCTGTACAAGTGCCAATATACAAGACGGATGCATTGACTCCTTACTTTTGCAATTCAAAACTTGCACCTCTTCACAAACGTTGCAAAAAATATCGATAAATGAGTTTAATAATTTTTTTAACAAAAGTATCAATATGATACCATTATTAGAAAAATTTAAACAGACAATGCCTATAATTTAGCCTATAAGTATTGTCTATTCACAATGAAAATGAAAGTCCCATGCCTTTTAAGTGAAAATAAAAAATGGAAATTTTATCTAAAAGGCATGAAAAATCATAAAAACTAGTTCTCTGATACAAATAAGAGATGAAAATCAGCTAGAAAGTGTTTATTATTCATAAATATCAAAATTATACTTGTAATATTTTTTATAGTGCATGAAATCTATCCTAAAGTCAAGATTTATAAAATAAATGCACTTCTATACATAATAAATCCTTATCTATAGCTTTTGACAATTAAATTTGGTATCTCAATGAATACATTAGGAATATTACAAATCATTATTTGGTCTGTGAAAATGCCGTTAAATTTCAGTTGACGTAATTTAGTCTACCTGCACTGACTTTATTCTAATTTTCATATTTTGATTTCTTGTTTAGTGAAAAAGTTATATTTTGGCAATAAAATTTGTTGTATTCAAATTTGCATTTACAAAAGGATTAATAGAAAAATTGAGATTTGCTCACTTTTAAATAAAGTTTAAAAGTATAATTCTGAAAGCATTTGGTACCAATGGAATGTTATTTTAAGATCACAAAAATAAATGCCATAATATATTTCAATAAAATTCAAACCTAATTAACATAAAATTATTATTTTCCAGCCTATATTTTCATCTCTTGACTAGTTAATTTATCCACTCAAATAAAAAAGAATCTTTTAACAAAAACTAAAATTTTAAATAAAAGTTTTAACATTATATACAAATATTAATAAAAGATATCCTGAATTTCACTTGCAGAAATTCTGCATATTCATTCTTTAATTTTGAATATCAAATATACTTTTGACCAAGTTATGAAAAGTGATTCTATACAGCATCGCCACAAGGTCCAGGTATATATATTCTTGTGGTGGAAACTGTGGATATGTTTTCCGTGAGACCGAGATCACCTTCAATTGCAGAATTATTCTGTAAACCAAATAAAAATGATTTACTATTTTATGTAAAAATCATTTCACAAAAGTTTCATAAACATAAAATTTGTCATTCATTCCATTTTAGCAAGAAAAATTCAAATACAAATTTTACATTGAAAGTTCCTATATAAAGACTTACAGGATTATTGTTGAAATTTCTGAAAAAACAAACAATTGTCAGTTTAACAAAGTAATGCATATTATGCAGACCTAGAGTTTTCTGAAATGCACATTTCTGAGAAAATCATTGCAACTCCTGACAAAATTTTAATTATATTCTGGAAGCATCAGAATAAGATTATAGCTTTGGGTTCTTAACTGTTCTACATAAAGTGTTGGAATAAATAATTTTGAAGAACATAAGAAGAGTCCATTAATAATCATTATGCATTTCTAACATTAAATTTTTCCTTATTATGAGGTAAAAATCCTTCCAAAAAAATATGAAAATTCATTTTAGTGTATTCTGTAGTCAACTGAACAGCAGACTAAATTCATAATTTAGCATTAGACCATCATATAATTCCAATCAATCAAAATTATTCATACTGGTGTAGCAATCTAGAATTTTTTTTACTGCAATAGGCATTATATCATTTAGCTTCAATAATGAAATCAATTGATACCAGATATGTTATCATATATTATTAAATTTTATTGAGTAAAACACTTTAAAATTTTTCCAGTTTTCAGATCAAAATATTAAATAATGTATTTTAAATGATTTCTATAAGAATCAATATTTAAAACAATTGAATGGAAAGAAATTAAAATCCAGAAAAGAGTAATTTATATATAAGGCAACACATATTTGGAAGATTTATATGATGGATTTTTCTTTAGAAATTCATTCCATTAAAAATGCTTACAAGCAAGATTGATAGCATCCTGTACACTATTCATAGAATTTAAGAAAATGCCATTAGTCGTTATTATTACATTATTTATGGAAATGTTAAGTTATATCAAAATGCCAAAATGAATCTGATGGTCTTTCATATAAACCAAAAACAAAATAGGACCCATAGTAGATTTTAGAGGTATAATTTGAAATATATATATGAAATACAAGGTGCGTTCCATAAGTAATGCAACCAATTTTTTCATGACGCGATGATACACGGTATCTAGTTTAACATGCTATGCTAGGTGGCATGGGGTGTTAGCTTCAAAACTTGCTTGATCTCATTTGCTTCCAAGCTGCCAGTGGGTGAGGACATTCATTCCTGTGAACCCTGTCTTGAGTTAATGTAACACAGCGCAATGGATCATTTTGTGGAGCAATCTTACACTATCAAATTTTGTGTTACACCGAAACATTAATTCAACAGGCCTTTGGGAGTGATTGCTTGTCCAAATCACAAGTTTTCTGATGGCACAAGTAACCCCCCCAAGAAGGCACGCATGAGCAAGTCCAGGATCAAAACCATGCTCATTGTCTTCTTTGATGTTGGAAGCATTATCTATTACAAATTCATACTTGCCGGAACCACTGTAAATGCAGCTTTCTACTTGGAAGTGCTCAAAAGACTGAAAAGGAGGGTTGCGCATTACCGAAGTGACATCAAGGACACATGGAAACTTCATCACAACAATGTACCAAGCCACAGCGCCTTCATTGTCAATGATTTCCTGGCCAGGTTCCGCAGCAACCTTACAGTCCTGACCTGGCTGCCACCAACTTTTTTTTGTTTCCTTGCTTAAAAGGGGCCATTGGGACATGATTGAAAACATCAAGGTTTATGTTACATCAACTCTAAAGGACATTCTGGAGGCCTTCCAGGCCTGGAAACATCACCTTCACAAGTGTATTGATGCAGGAGGGTGCTATTTCGAAGATTTTTGACTAATTGTAAGACTGTTCAATAAATGATTTTTTATGAATTTGGTTGCATTACTTATGGAACGCACCTTGTATGTATATTAATGAGACAGAAGAATGGAAGAAAAGTAAATCTTGTAAGTAAGGCTTGAAAGATTCATTGTTGTTCAGCACCTACACTACTGCCAAAGTTAAAAATAAATAAATCCATTGACAAGAAGCTACAGAACCCTCAGAAAACAACTTTGAAAGGAGGCAGGAATGTATTTAAGTTTTAATATTATTCACAAGTTAATGAATTGTACAACATGTGAAAAAAATAAGTAGCATTGGTGTTCTTTTGCATTTAATGTGTTCGTTTTAGTTAACAGGAAGTTCATTTGCTTATGACAGTTACTGCAAAGGGCAAGAATATGCTAACTTACTCAAGTCATCACAAAATGCAATAATCACACAACATTATTATGACAATCATATTGTGACCTACATAAATAAAAATATGACCCTCACATAAGTTTGTGCAGCAGAATTAGGTTTCTTTATCCCCTCATTATCTCATGAGAAGTTGGAGACTAACATCTGTTTTCTCAAAACTTGAAAAACATGAGTTAACATTAATAAAACATAATGTCGTCTTTATGAAAATAATGTATAATTTTATGCAAATTAATAAAACAATTTAAGACTATACAATAAAGAGTATTTCTTTCTTTGTCCTTTCTCACACCTCAGGAAAATAACAGTCTTACAGTGGAGTTGACCTTTTATTAGAGTCTGCTCATCCACCTCTGTATGCAAAACATTACAGAAACTTCCAGGACAAAAGAAAAATTTTTTAGTGTATAGTCAAATTGTTTTATTAATTTTACAATTATTGTCCTGGCAATTTTATCAAATGAGTTAACATGTTCTTGCTTTAAGCCCTTAAAATTGATTGTATAATTTATAATATACATTAAAAGGAAAAAAAATATATTCCTACAACACACCAACCACTGTCATAAATCATTGGGCTATAATTTGAAATAAATAATTATAAATAATAAATGAATTTGGCACTAGAGGGAGGTGTTAGGTGTCATCTCATTAAAATTAATAATTATAATACTTAATTAAATAATTTAGATTAAACTGGAAAAAAAAGAATCGGCCTGAAGTGGGACTCAAACCTGCAACTTTTGTTTACCATGTGAATGTGTTCCCAGTTATGCTACCCGGACCTTTGGTCCGATTTCCTCTTCCAGTATATTTAACATTAAGCTACAGCCATCATCGGCCATTACAGTGCCGACTGAGGAGCATTCACACAAGGCACTCTAGTGCCAAATTCATTTATTATTTATAATTATTTATTCCAAATTATAGCCTGATGATTTATGGAAGTGGTTGGTGTGTTGTTGCATTGCATCAGGGTTGTTTATTTGAATTATTCCATTAATCTATATTTTTAAAAATTATTATTTAACTGCTATATGTAATATCATAATGAATATTCAACTGATCAGATTGTTTTGTTTTCGGAACAAAAATTATAACTGAAAATACTTCTAGCCTTTTTCAGTAAAAATATTTTTAGGTACTTTTCAGTTAATAGGACACCGGCCAATATGTACAGCAAGGAGTAAGATTCAAGCTTTAAATGAGAAGTTTCGCACTACCCCCAGAATTGTTGACCCTTTGCGTGATATTCATCTCAGAAGGACAGTTTTTAACATGTATCAGTCTACTATTCTATTGATACATGCTTCACATATAGCTGTTGCTAACACCTCAGCACCCAGGTGGGGGGTGAGTCCTCACACTCCCTACAACTATATAACATCAAGTATTCAACAAACAGTCAAGTGGGCTAAATTTTTAAGTTCAATAGTCTTTACAATAGTCTTCTGATGTCCCGTTAACTGAAAAGAATCATATTTTATTAATTAAATGTTTTTGGCTGACTAAGCAGCCATCTTCAGGATCAAACTATTAATGGAACCAAAAAATTATAGCTAGTATGATTAAAGTTGTATCACACACCTCAAAAAACCTCTGGTGTCCAGTGGTGTGTGATACTGTTTTAGTAAACTGATGGTGAAGGTGGCTGAACTATTACAATTAAAGTTTATGAATTAACTTTTATCAAATAATTTATGCTATAACAGATAATGACTAGTAATAATGACTAATGCCACAATATATAACAAATATTGAATTTCTCAAAAATTATAACATATACATATATGTGTGAAACTCATTTAAACAATGGGCCATTAAAGCGACTGGTAAGATTCACATGGGCCACATCACATTGAATTCAGATATTTAAGAAAATTTAATTAACATTATCATTAATCATATGTAAGTGTATATATATTTCATTTCAAGTAATACTAGAACATCATGCAATTTTGTTGTATCATGACAGAATTGAGGCAGTCAGAAAAAAACAGGCAATCCTTACACTTGCTGCTAGAGTTGGTGATCCATGAACAAAACAAACAACACCAATTGGTTTGTTTTTGTGTTTTAATCATTTTTTATGCCCTTTATCCATTAGGCACATGCAATGCTTTTTTTTGTCTCTGAATTCCATTAGGCATGTTGAATCACATCACGGAGCATGGATATTATCACTTTTACCCCACTGTATCTCAAAACTCTTTTTTATTACATTTTTGGTTTCCTCATTCTATTTAATGGAAAATGGCAAAGTTTTATCAAAATTGGAATATCAAATTGTGAAAACTAACAGAATTCTGTAAGCCACATAGAAGAGGCTTTGCTAATGCTCCATCTCAATAAGTTGTTACTCTTATATGAGTAAAAAAAATGTATTAAAACATTACAATAAAATAATTTTTCATTCTTAAAGATGTTTTCAAGAAATAAATACAACTAAACATTTTTTCCTTTATTCAGGAAAGAAAAAAAATAAGATAAACTTTAATTTTAAACCATGCATCATTAATTAAATTGTTTATCTATAGAATAGTATCAAAATAAATTTCTGTTNATTAAAATTATTTATATTAATGATGTCTCCATAGTTCAACGAAGTTTTCGCAGAAAAATAACATCAGAAATCGCGGCCGCGGTTTGCTGAGCTGTTCCGTGACGGAAACAAGCTTGAGCAATGGCGATGTCGAATGGTGCCCACTCAGTAAGTAATCCTACAATTTTTTGCT